CTAAGAACATGAAGTCAAATGAGACTATCACCTCTACATGGTAACGTGCTGAGAAATGTGTCAATAATACAGATTTGCTCCGGATCCACTTTGCATTCTCAATGATCTGCAATATTTGTGGAAAATTCCTTTTACAGTGTAGTTCTACGAGTGTTTGAACATAAAGAGGATCATACCTGAGATATGTGAGTGTGACCGAGTGACTGCGCATGCTCAGTGCTAAAACTTTCATCCAAGAACGTTGCCTGCAAGATCAATTGAGCTCAGAAGCTATATATATATATATAATGTAATCTAAAAAAGTTTTGAAAGAGTCAAACATGCAAGTGATATACAATCCGGCTAATAGGAAGCACCTCGGTTATAAGAACTTTTGCTCTCAACGCATCAGCATTACGAGGGTCAAGCATATAATCTGCAGTTGTATCTCCAGTGAAGGCTATCTCAGGAGATAATATCATGTCTGTAATCTGCGGTTAAGTTGAATGAATATTATTTGATTTATCCAACCTCAATATAAAAGAATTTCGTTTTCACATGATCATCAGTTGGCAAATGTAAGGAACAAACCTCAACGCCAGACTTTTTAATCTTTTCTATCTGTTTGCCTTTGAGGTGACCATACTGCTTCTTCAACTTGTTCCTGACCGAGTAGATGACATAACCCTGAGAGAAGCCATAATCATTAGAAGCAGACACTCTCATGCCAAACCAAATTCTCACGATAGTACCTACCTGACTGGGTATGACGTGGTTAGTTGCAAATGGTCTAACAGCAATGTCATTCCGCAACTGATATGTTTCTCCTGCCACCAAACAGAGAACTAACTCAGATTTGCAACATCTAGAAAAACAGGTGAAAAAGCTTTCCATCACAATGTCGTCATACCAACATCGAGAGGAATCACTTGAGCATTGAGCTCTACTTGACCCATACTCCTGTGAATGTCAAGGAGTTTCTCCACATCTTCTTTGATAGATGGTGGCACGAATATTTTGGGTGGGTCAAGATTGTATAACCCACGGCTAGCTACATACATGGGTAGGCCGCCCTGAGGAAGCATAATCAAATTGAAATTCCAATCCAATCCTTATCCATTCAAAGAGAGAGAGAGCTTACTTACGATATGATCAAGATGAGCGTGAGTGATGAAAAGAAAATTCTGGTGGATAGCGCGTGAAGGGCATCTCCCGATATCGAAGACGCAATTGAGCGTCGGGACGATGACGCACGTCTGGAGGCCACTGACGGAAATGCCCTCGATTGCATAACTCTCCAATTCGACGCTTTTCCGCTTGACGGCGGCGCGTGATTTCCGATGCTCTTCATCATCCTCGAGTGCTCGGCTAATCGATGAGAAATAGCCAGAGACTTTCCCGGGACTCACCAAATTACAACGGTGGTTCTGTATGAGCTGGGGGATCGGTGGAGGGCCATGGCGATTGGCGAAAGGGAAGACATTGGAGGAAGGAGAGATTGGAAGCGCAAGCTGCTGCATTCTTTCTTGTGTTATCGGATAAAATGAAGATTACAGAGGTTTTTAGCCTTTTTCTTTACCGAGCCGAACTAAATTTTAATATAACTGGGCCGGAAGGAGAGATTAACGAGCCGTTCTCTTGTGTTGTTAGGTTAGTTCTCATTCCTATCTAAGATAAAGTGGCTTTTGGAGAGGTTAACGAGTAAAATCCATGGCGTTGCAATTGTGTTTTTTAAAAAAATATTGCAGGCTACATCGATTTTCTCTTTCTATTCTTGATTATGGGTATCAACGTTGGTGGAATCTATGACGTCTTGCTTTCAACCAACGTCATCGGGTTTAATTTTCCGGGTTTGTGATGTTGGTCGGCGTTATTCCATCTTTCTTGAAATCTTCAAACTCGTCTGTAAATTTATCAAAATTCATTCCTTTAACCGCTATGTTTCATTTCCCCTTCTTGAGATATCCTTTCTCCGATTTCGTAGTTGACAACATCACTTTGTAGATTGTTTTCCCTTTCATGGGTGTTTGTATAACAACTCATCGTATTTGGAAGTCTGGGATATCAATTGCGATTATGTAGATATATGAAGAGGCTTTGATTGGTAACATGCGGAATCTTGTTTAAAAACGCAGTTCTACAGGATTTTTGCCAATAAAAAAAAGTTGCGGAATGCCAAAAAAAACTCGAAAACGTAGAATTTTTCATTAAGCAGATAAGTGAGATTTTATTTGCTTTCTCGTGAAAAACCATATGAAAATTAATGATCTTACTAATTAATTATGAAAAAACATATTAGTATTTTTTTGATTTTTTCATTAGTTTTATTAATTATATATATTTACTTGATTCATATTTTATAAATTGACTAAAGTGAAAACACAATAATCATAAACTACAAAGCATTTGTATGGAAATAAAGAATAGCATGTGCTATGGATTTTTCACCTACATATCGTATATACAATTTTGTTACCATTATTTTCATTCAATTTCATATTTTTCATAGTTTTTTTTATGATATATCAAATAATATCTAGCTATATAGTAAAAATTCATTTGTAAATATTTATATTTCGCCAGTCTGCAAAATTTATCCAATCGCACATAAATTTTGTTCCGCAAAAAAAAGGAAATTTTGCTAAAATAGGCCACATTAAATCGGATAATGTCTCAGTACACCTTTGTCAATTTTTACCACTTTTTGTTCATACTACCCTTAATGGACATATAAATAATTTTAAATAAAATATTTTAAAATTTTTAAAAATAAGATAATTATAAACATGTCATGAATAGTCATTTATATATAAATTTTGTTTTTAAGCTAAAAACCATGTTGAAAAATGATTTTATTGCTTCCTTCTACGGTTGCCACAATTCGGTAGATTTAGGATTCTGCATATTTCATCTAAATCTACCGAGTGTAGAATTTTGGTTATGTGTCATGCTCTACGTTCTACATTGTCGTAGAATATTAGTTCCACGAATTAGACTGATATCTACCAAACCTAGATAGTACTTTCTACCGTTTTCAATATATTCTACCGTGTCTTGAATATAATTTCTACTGCAACGTCTACCACTTTGTCTATCATCTACCCGATTCGTAGAATATAGTTTCTAAAAAATTAGTTACAAATTCCTTAAATCTATGAGTGAATATTTTTGTTCCCTAAAACGAGTTTAAGAAAAAA